GAGAAAATAACAAAACTTTAATTCATGGTTACATAGTTGGCTGGAAAAATGCCAGTTTGGCCACGAAGATTTCCTTCCCACCAATCAAAATGTGAATCAGTTTTTGATGTAACTATGATTTTGTCTCCAGCTTGGAAATTCAAGTCTCCCGGCTGCTGTCCTTCAAAAGAATACAGTGCTGTCACTTCTATTGGCTGATTTGAACCGCCTGAAATAAGAAAAGGCATTCTGATCATTCTTGCTTTTGAGGGGGAAGTAGCATGTGCAGGTGGAACAGAAGATAATCACTTGAGGGTTAGGGTCTGTGGACTGGCACACAGTCTGTGGAAGGTGCGCACCATGAAACTTGAGTTTTTTTCCTTTGAAAAGAGCAAGTGTGTGGCAGTAACATTTCCCAAATTCACATACAAGTCACAACCACACACTATTACATATATAATGAAATGTTTAGGAAATGTATACGGCTATACTTGTTTGAATTTTGACCCATAAAATAACATTATTCATACTTTGCCCATTTTAAAGGAATAGTCATTGCCATGGTCTGAATGTTCCCCCAAATTCCTATGTTTAAGTCCTGCCCCACCAGGTGGTGATCATGAATGGGATTACTGCCTCATAATGGGCTCCTGCCAGCAACAAGGGCCTGGTGAGGAGTGTGCCTGAGACCTGGGGTGGAGCTGGCACCACACGCGTCTTGGATTCCCCTGAAGAACTGCGAGGAGAGAGACTGTCCAGGGTGGCCTTCTGGGGTGCTGTGACAGCCAGGGGGCCTGCTGGGAGGGTGCTCGCTGGGGTGCTCTGTGGCCACCCAGGGGGGCCTGCCGGGAGGGCAGTCTAGTGTCCATCAAGAGGCGAATGGATAAAGAGAATGTGGTGTATGTATACAATGGAGTTTGGTTCAGCCATAAAGAAGAATGACATTGTGTTGGTTGCAGGGAGTAGAAGGACCTGGACAGAAGCACCATTTTAAGTGAAGCAAGCCAGACTCAGAATGCCAAGTGTCACATGTTTTCTCTCCTATGTGGAAGCTAGAAGGAAACAGGAGGAAAGGCTGGGAGGGGGGAGGGAGGAGAGGAGAGGAGAGGTCCTGAGGGTGGCATTGATGAAGTCACTTCATGTTTGTGTGTAGATGCATCACATGAAACCCAGGCCCACCAGGAAAGAGATCTGCGCACAGTGTCTGCATGGTAACAATCTGGGTACCTGATTCCTTGACGCTGCATTTACAGAAGCGGCTAATTCCTCACGGGCATTAGTTCTGTGATATATGGCTTTGTGACCTTATTTACCTTACTTATTATAGATTAATAGGGCTCTTTAGACCCCGGCGACCATTTGTGAGCCATTC